TAAGTTATGTATTTCTAGAAAATATTTCAATTCTTTTTGTTTTTCATATTTGTTGGAGAAAAGCCTTTTATAATATTGTATTCTTATTTCTTTTTTTCAGTATGTTCTGTATTGATCCTGCCCATTCATTTCAAAGCCATGATGTTTGCATCTTCTCCTTCTTTTCTGTTGGTCAATTTGCCATTGGTTTGTCAATTTTGTTAACCTTTTCAAAGAACCAACTTCTCATGCTTTCAGTTCTTTCAACTATTTTCTTATTTTCCAAACCATTTATTCTGCTCCTCACCTTAACTATTGCTTTTCTTCTACTGGTTGAGATTTTGTTCTGTTTCTCTTGCTCTAATTGATTATGATGTTGTGTTAAGATGAAGATATTTAGCTCTTTATTTTTTTTATTATGTGTGCCTGAATTACTATAAATGTCCTTCCAAATAATACTTTTGCTGTGACCACAACATATCTTACCATTCCTTTTTAGAAGGGTCACAAAGTTGCCCTAAACCTAGTTTTTTTCATGATGTATACATGCAGGATGTAAACTTATACATAAAGCCTTGGATGCTGTTGAATATTCGATATAGTGGTGACTGTTTGGACAAAAGAGATAGGATCAGGTAAGAAGGAAAATAGAACATCAAGATAATGTCTTTCTTTTCTGGATGTTGATTTTAATGCCTTCTTAAGTATTTCTAACAAGTACATGCATACCTAAAAATGTATTATCACAATCCAATTATAATTAAAAACTTTTTTAAAAAGGAGCCGACATTTATATTTAAAAAATTTCTCCATCCATTGATATGAGGATATCATTAGTTTCCCTTGAACAATAAATGTGTAAGAATATAACAATATCAATATGTATTTGCAAGTGCACAAGTAATGCAATCAAGGCAGATTTTAATTAAAAAATCCACAATCAAAGGCAATTTTTCCTTAGCTCTTACTATTTATCTCCCAATGGATTACATCAACATAAAAGGAGAAGTGATTGGTGTTGTCAAGGAGTTCATCCTCCTTGGACCCACAATCAATATTCAGGGAAGCAACCATCAAGAGATCCAATGCCTGATTGGCATTGGGTAAATCTGCCACACAAGACCTCTTCAAAGTGTTGGAACGCAAGGATGTCGCTCTGAAGGCTAAGGTGAGGCTAACCCATATGACTATATTTTCAGCAGCCTCATAGGCATGTGTAAATTGGGCATGAAGTAAGGAAGACTGAAGAAGGGTCCATGCATTCAAGTCATGCTGCTGGGGAAGAATGGTGAAAATACTATGACTGCCAAAGGAACAACCAAGTGTGTCAGGGAAGAAATACAGCTAGAATGCTCCTTAGAGACAAGGATGACGACACTTTGTCTCGTGTGCTTTGGACATGTTGTCATGAGAGAGCAGTCACAGGAATGTGACATCATGCTTGGTAAAGTAGAAAGGCAGTGAATTAGAGAAAGGCGCTTAAAAAGATGGATTGACATATGCCTGCAACAATGGGTTCAAACAATAACAATAATGAGGAATGCACAGAGGGTAGTTTTACATTCTCTTGCACGTAGGGTCACTGTGAGTCAGAAATGACCAAACATCTAACAACAACAATAGCATGACGATTTAGACCTCATATCTGCAAAAGGCTCATTTTGTGGCTTGAATAAGGAGATGGGGAAGTTGTTTATAGAATTTGGGAAATTGTGAGTTTGGAAAATAAATATTTTGCATAGTTACATGCATCTAGCTGCAAAAACACAATATGTGATGGATTCTAACTAAAATATGAATTGTCTAAAAGACTTTGCCTTCCCAACAACTTTTAGAAAGGCACGCTTGACTTCTTTATTCCTCAAACTATAGATTAGAGGGTTAAGCATGGGGATGACGATGGCATAGAACACAGATGCTATTTTGTCAGTGCCCATGGAGTGACTGGAGCTGGGCTGTAGGTACATGAAGGTGACTATCCCATAGAGGATGGAGACTGCAGTGAGGTGGGAAGCACAGGTGGAAAAGGCCTTCTGGCGTCC